AGAGTGAGAGAGAGAGTATGTGTATAGAAAAGAGCACTGAAGGGAAAAGCAGGTGAGCAGATGTGAGTTCAGCAGTGAATAAAGTAAATAACAAAACATCTTTTAGAAAAAGGGCCACTATTGTTATTTTTTGTAATGTTTAAATGTTGTTAATAAAAGGAGTGTATGTTGAAGTACGTGGGATTTATGATTTTGTTTTAGGTTTTTCAAAGTGGTATCAAATTGGTAAAGAAAATTAAGAAATGTCAATGGTATTGGTATCGACTACTACATTTCTGGTATCGTGACATGCCTACTGTAGCCACCAGTTCATGCAGTTCATTCAAGCATCTAGTTTTCCTTTACCTGGTGTGTCCGAGGGAATCTTTCCATACAGGCAGCATGACCACTGGTTTGATGGCACACTCCAGTATGGCCAGGGCCAAAGCAAATTCCCTGGCCTTGCTGCACATCTGTACTGCTTTGTTCCAGTTGGTCCTACAAAAAACAGATAACAGCATAACTGCTATTTTTTCCATAGAGCTTCATCATATTTCAAACTCTCATACCAGTAAAAATGGATCATGATATTCTGCAAGAACCAATTAATTTTCTTGCCAAGAGCTAGTTGAGAAGACGGATACCACTCATGTTTGTACTGTAAATATGGTGCTACAGCCTGGAACTGGTTAGTTTAGCACCAAGACTGTAAACAGGGGAGGAGGAGCTATCCTGGCTCTTTCCAAGAACTAGTTTTTGTACAGATTAAAAAAATAAGATGCTAAGATAAGTGAGCTTCTGAGGTGGTGGTAGGCAGAATTTATTACGTTTGGACAGAGTCAGGCTTCTCATCTAACTCGCGGCAAGAAATTGGCTGACCATATTTCCTAAAAGTCTGAACTTCCTGTTAGATCAGTGCAAGCATCACCCACTAAATACCACACTGGGACCATAACTTTGACAGAAATTTGGCTGCACCTCATGGGAAATTAGGCTATAAACTAAGCAACTAAGAAGTATGTATCTTTCCCTGCTTACCAGCTCAAAGGGTGCTGTTGTGTAGCAGCCTGTGAAACAACAGTGAATTTCCCAAAAGGGCTTCACATTAACCTGATCTGAGATGTACCTGTGTGATGCCCAGTTAGGATGCATAAACGGTCCAGGGACATTGGTCTCCAACTGGATGATGGTGAGACGCAGGGTGGAGACAGTCAGGCTCCGTGAACCGTAGATAGAGCCATTCCACTTGAACTCAGACGCGGTGGTCAGGCTGAACTTGTGGGAGAGGTGGCGTCTCTTGTCGTGGTCCTCGCGATGCTGATGCTTGTTCAGAGCCAGGACATTGGTGCTGTACTGGTTATGGTAGACTCTGTATTTACCCTCCTGACCCAGTTTGAACAAGTTGTTCAAATTCACGTTCAGGTCCCTTTTTAAGAAGCTGAGACGCAAGGCTTCACCATCAGAGCGCACGGGAGATGACTGAAACATGAGAGGGAACATTACATTCAAACTAAACACTACACATAACAATAAAAGTGTGCCGATACAAAACTTTTTTTTCATTTCAACAACTAGTGCAGTGTTTATGCTAACTTAAAGAGTTAAATGAAATACAGGATCCTAGATGCTATGGACACACTTTAGTAAGTACTCAACATTTGTTGTCAGTCCTAGCTTATTTCATTTTTAAACAAACAAACAGAAAATTTTTGTACATGCAGCTTAAAAAACAAAACAAAAGACAAGTCTCACCTCTTTGCTGCCTCTAGGCGTTTGGTTATTGGATTCACGTCCACCTGCACTCCCTCCATCAGTCTTGAACCTTTCATTATACTCATCTGTCATTCAGAAAGCACATGACACTATCAGTGCAGCAACAAACTCAGCATTGATTCAAACAGACACCGAGACAAATGAAAACGACTGAACTGATTCCAAAGTTAGTGTGGGTGTGTACTTTCTGTGCTGACGAGCCTCGCTCATGTTTACCTGTCCCATCCTGGCTGGTGAAAGAGGACTGAGAGGACCGATCAGCCAGGTCAGGCTGATCTGGTTTCCTGACGGTCCCACATCCAGAAACCTGGCTGCTATCACTACTCGCCTCTGGTTGAGAAGACTGCTGCTGTGGCCGATCTTGGGTTTGTGCCTGCGTCTCGTCAGGGTGCTTGTCTTCACTGCGAGACTCTGCTTTTGTGTCCTCATCTGAAAAAATAAGCGTAAGCGTAAAAAAAAAGCAACTGAATAATATTAATAACAAGCTATGTGCTTTAGGCAAATATGGCAGCTGTGTAAACACAAACAACTACAACAATATTGACATAAATTCTAATTTTGCAATTAGGAAATTCTCAACATAGCTCGGCCATCCCTTGTTCAATGTAACACCAGGTCTCGGGACTTGAAATTTGCATATGACAACAAACTTGATCAGTCCAGCTAGGCCTATAAAACCAAACCCAATCTCGGGCAGGGAAAGCTACTAAAACAAGCTGTGCACTTGCTGCAAAGCCAAATTAAGACACCAGCCCCGCTTTTGAGTTGTTAGGGGAGAGAGTCCTGAATATATAAGCAGCTCTTTGTTGACGAGGTAGCAGGTGGGGCTTCCAGGCAGAGAGCCTTTTGTCTGAGCAACAGGAACCCACCCAAATGCCCATAAATTGGAATGAGAATAAGGAGCCGGTTGTGACAGACGTGGCGTGCTAGCGGCTGCCAGGGACGCCGTCTACCACAGTACCAAAAGCGTGCTTTTTAAGACTCAGGAAACAACATATAACACAAGACAAGAAACAAATGCACCAAAAAATAAATGGAACATTTAGCGACCATGGCAGATGCTGAATACCACAGCTTCCGTTTCATGTTTAGAGATGGTCAAGACGAAATGAATGGCAGAAAATGGCCTGCAACAGCTTAAGGTCTCTCATGAGCAATTAAATGAGAGGAGAAAATATTTTTCCACCATCTAATTAGATGTTTACTGAAGATAATGATGAAATGCTGTGAAAAGGAGATCTGAAAAGGATCAGGCTAATTATGGTCACTCCAGTGTTGCATTGTTGTTGAGTGGTGAGAGCTACAATGTTTTGCTTGAGCTGCTCAAATAAAGGATGACTTAGTGATGGAATTAGAAATTCAGCTCAGGAAACATAATTGTCAGCTGGGAAATATGTAATGTAACATGGTCAGAGAGGCACAGTATCCCGTTTGAAGCCATTTAAACAGAAAGCAAAAACACAAGTGCTCCATTAAACAGCAACCAGCCAACACAATAAGCAGAATCTGCCTGAACAAAAGCAAACTGAGACCAACAGTGCATACAGTATTTGTGACTAGCATAGCAAAGCACATGATGCTAAACTCCCATGGGAACAGTGAAACATTGGTCTGTCAGACAGAGCGATTGGAGTGATTTCTAAAGCCTTGCAGACGTGGCAGAGGTCTAAGAAAAGAAAAACCTTCAAATCACCTCCATATTATTCCAGGTTTGCCAGGAATGGTTGTACATTATGTTAATTATAATATAGCAACAAACAAAAAAAACCTGGAACGTGTCTTCAAGTCCAATTAGCAAAAACTGGATTTAGTTTTCAGTCTCTTAAACAAATGGAGACTTGACTATAACATTACAAATGTATAGAGACAGAAGCAAATCAGCATAGTCACCCCATCGCACCCAACAAGGCAAGTGGGCAGAGTGAAAAAAGGCAGGGTATGGTTAGCAGCAACCAGCAGAGACAAGCAGACAGATGAAGATGGATGTGCAGCCCAGCAGCAGGGTATGAAGTGAAAGGGGGATCTGAATGGCAAAAGATGCTGCGGATAGCTGGACACTGGAGTGAACACGAGTCAGTCTCGTTCTCCGAGTACCTGGCCTTTCCTGCTTTGCCAAAGGAGGGCACTCCCCACTCTCCTGGCTCCTAGAGTGAGCAGGCTGTGCTTCCTTGTTCGGGTCGAGGGACTCCGCTTTCGGCGTGGCAGCGTCCTGCATGGCCGAGCTGGGGTTAAGATCTGACGTGCAGGTCTCCTCTATAGCAGGGGCAACCGTGGCTGCTGTGGTGTGACATACATCCACAGGGCAAACAGCACCAGCGGAGTCATAATATTATTTATCAGCAAGTCAAGAAGAGGTAAAGGTTTTGATACTGCTACAGAAACATCATCACAGTTCCACCATCCAATATTAGAGCAACTGCACTTTGCACATGTGGGAAAACAACACCTGTTGTTACCAGTACTACTGGGTCTGCTGTTGAGGAGTTACTTTAATAGAAAAAGTGTGTAAGAGAGGTTTAGAGCAAAGAATACTGTATATAAAGTTCACTTTTACCTTGTGAACTAGCATCTTCCTTGGGCTCAGTGTCTTTGTGCTCTCTGTCGTTGAGCTGTGAGGTGAGCTCGTCCTCTGTTGTCTTAACAGGGCTCGTTTCTGCTTCCTGCTTTGCGTCCCCTACTTGCCTCTTTGCTTCCCGTGCCTCTCGCCTGATCTTTAAACGCTCCATGACCACATCTACAGCAAAAATATATTCAATTTTTAAAATAGAAAGGCAGCGATTACATATCAATGCATCAGCATGATGGATTTTAAATGGCAACACTGAAATGTTATGATACTGTAAAGCAAAATAACGTTCTTCATTCCTCATTTTTCCATATGAGGATCACTTCCTCCAATTAAAAACACGGGACAGCAACTAACAATTGTTTTCACTGTTTTTTAATCTGCCTATTATTTTCAGGATTAATTGTTAATCCATGTCTATAAAATGTAAAATAAAAAGTAATAAAAGAGCCCAAGGTGTTTTATCTGAGAATCAGACCAGACCCCAAAGATGTTCAGTTTACTATGACATATCATCAAAACTACTATCACTTGTGTCAGCTCCACAAAGGAATTTGAAAGAAGCATCTTAACCAGGCAACTGGAGCACAGCCTATCCTACGATGAACTGCTCCAGGTAACCTTTAACTGGATAATCTGACAAGTGATATATCAAACATAATAACATAGTAGTAATTTGTGTACATAGACGCTAGCATATCTAGAGGCTATAACTCAGTCAACCCAGCAATAAAGGCTCTTCCCATTCACACAGCTCCAAGACAGGGCAGCAGTTTCTTTCCTCAGACAGCCAAAATCTCTAGAGGGCTCCGTTTTATAACTACAGTGTTCAGCAGGACAGAAACAGTTGTGTCTCAACCAGCTTAAAAGGAAGAAAAGCAAGGTGCAGGGAAGGCCACACTGTGCTGCTGCAGCGGCAGTGGGCTTTTAACGGATGAAATATACCAGCAACACCCATAAATCACTTATGATGGGACAAAAAACCCACTGCAATGGCTTTACAAAAACCTCTTTTCTTCCATTTCAGGCTGCACAATAACTATTCAAACCTCTAGTTTTTGACATACTGCCAAAGGAACATCCCCAATAAAAGAGAGCACACCACTGTCTCTCTCAACCGAAATAAGGCTGTTTAAGTGACACACATAGGAAACTATTCTATATGTCAGCCTGTCAAACTGAAACGGAAACTGCTGGCATAAAAACCAAAGGTCTTCTAACCACTCTGTCTCCTTGGAGGGAGGTAGAGGGGGAACAACAGTTGCTTGTAGAAAGCGTGGAACAGAAAGAAAAGGCAGCATCTAACATTTCTGAGCCAACTGTCAACACAGCCGAGCCCTGCAGCCTGAGGGGAGGAACTATGTTATCTGGAGCAGAGAGATAGACTGTTTCTGAATGTAAAACTGCAAACGAACACGTACGTTCACTGCTCAGCTTGAGTCACACATTAGTTGTCAGATGAATGATTTCCTTGTTACCTTTAACTGCTGCTCACATGAATATCCTACTCACAAATACCAGAACAAGATTACACTACTACATGCTTCGAATGTGTTTCTATTCTGGGGAGTGAAGACGATATCAAACCCGTACCGTTGACGGCAGTGAGGTAGGCTTTACTGTTTCCTCGGGCTTTGTTGGTAAGGTCCTCTGTGATGTCCATGTGGGCTTGCACTTCTACCTTCATCTCCTCCAGGGTGGCATAGAGGTCCATTTCCCAATACTCCTTATCCAGGCACTCCATGAGCTCCTCCAGCTGGGCCTTGGTGCTACAGTACCAGATCTTTTTCTTCTCATGTTCCCCATCTTCCTCGCTGGGGGATAGAACAGAACAGAACAGTTTTTAAACGTATTTAACGTGCAAGGTGTCGTTACAGTACAATGTTCACTGTATCAAACAGGGCCTCACACAACACTGATTCACTGATTCATTTGTTTATATTACCTGGTTGAATAATCTCACTGGTGGGTAAATACCTCATACATTTTTGTGAGTTTGAACTATTAAGAAATGTTATCCTCTATTGTTTGAGTTGGATTAAGTAAATTGTGCACTCTGTTGAGATACGTGTATAAACAGTAGGGAGAACCCTGTGCAAGCTAGCTGAAGAAAAAGCTATTTTCTCCACACTAGAATTCAAATGCAATCACAAGTTGATTCATACTGAATGATACCAGACATTTGTAAAGGAAGATAATGAGGTTGAGATAATACTGAGTGTCAAGGGCAGGTTGAACTGTGACTCCGGCAGACTGCTCATCTACTCATTAATATTCTGTTGGTGCAGTTCAGCTCAGCTCAAGCATCAAGTCTCTTTTTTCTCTACAAAATCAAAATCATTAAAAGGCTCTGTCAGATCCTGCCTGACAGAGGGGCGAGTTCAGCCTCTTATTTGTAAAGACTGTGTTTAAACAGAACTCGTATTCGGGGTGGGGGAGGAGGAGGCGGCGATCAGGAAAGACATTACTGCCAGTAAAGAAGAAAGGGCTTGGAGTGTATGTCTCTTTTATAACCTCCAGTCAAAGAGATGATTTTATTCATGGAAGCATGTTGCTCTCTATGCGCCAAGTGACTTTCCTGGTAACTTTCAGTTTCACTCTCCAGCTGTTTCACATTTTAGCTTGGGACAGCACACACACACATAAGCTGAGCACCTCAGATCTTTACACAGTGTCCCGCAGTGTATTGAGGTGAACAGCTAATATTAATTATGAATCATACCATACCTTGTAAGCTATGTTTATACAAGCAGACTTAGACCACCTGTAGGGTAATGACAAACGGATACCAAACTCCACAAGCCAAAAGGTACAAAAATATGTGCAAGATAATCAGCAATGTTCATTGCATTTGTCTTCCAGTGTTCTGTAATATGTCAAACAAACCTCTTCACACATTTAAAATACAAACCTCAACACTTCATGGTGCTACGTCTTATGTAATCTGTAATCTGTATTAGGACGTAAAGCTGTCGGCACAGAAGGAAAGGTAATTCTAATGAACAGAAAGGCTTTGAAGGTCCTAACTTACACAATAATCCTTCTGTTTAGGAACCAGTATTTCCTCTGGTGGCGGTCATATCCAATGGGCTCCTGGCGGATGTATGGCCTGTTCTTCTGTGCCTCCGTCACACAGTCTGTGACACCAGGCACCTTGTGTGCCACACAAATCTCGCACTGCCACTCGTCCTCTGGAACCTCCTGCAGCGGTGGTTTCACGCACTCCAGGTGGTAGACCGCTGAGCAGGTCTCACAGCACAGCAGGTCCCCCAGGCGGTGACACACGCGGCAGTGGTCGTCATACTGCATGATGCCGTCAGACATCAGCTCCTCCCGGGCGATGTTGGTGGTGAGAAACTGGTCCACCAAAAACTGTAACACCTTGATCTTACTCTCAAGTGGACCGTAGGGATACTCATCCGCCTCCTGATATGGAAGGACATGATGGTACTCCCGGTCGCTCTCACAGTACGCCCGCAACACCTCAGGCCACGTCATGCCGTCAATAAAGTACAAGGTGGAGTTGACGCTGTCCTTCAGGTCAGCGGGGCCAAAGGTAGTGTTGGAGGAGTCCTCCTCGCGCAGGATGGCCTTCAGGAGGGAAATATGGGTCTCGGCTATTAAAGTGCACTGCTCCTGGCCTACCAGTGCTGCACAGAAGTCCTCGAAGCGGAAGGGGGAGAGACGCAGCACTGTGCTGAAGTTCCGTACCACCTCGTAGATGGAGGTGGCATTGAGCAGCTCCTCACTGGGCACCAGAAGGTCCTCAGAGGAGTCAGGAAGCACAAGAGGAGGAATCTCCTTCTCCTCGAGAATGGGGGTGCGAGGTCGGGGCCGTACTTTCTTCTTCCCTGTAGGATACACAAATGATATTAGTAAAGCATAATTACAGCTCTTTGATCCACAGGCTAAAGCAGAGGAAAACACTTCAAAAACTTAAAACTGTTTTATGGTTGTATGAAAGGACTGAGAGTCAAAAACACTGATGTTTCATTCTATCATTATCACCCAGGTCTTCTATAGGACTGTGCAGTAATAACCATCTTTCTATAACAAGACCTCCAGCACTGAGCCGGCTCAACACACACTAGGGCTTCATCATACTAACGTTACATCCAGGAAAACATTTGCTTATAATAACTCGTATTGCTCGTATAATAACATAAAAGTTATTCCGGCCACACACTTTAACCCTTCTTTCTCGGTGTTAAACCGTGAAAGAAATGAGCTGTCCTTTTGGAGGGACTAACTGTGAGGAGGACTAAGTTGAAAACTGACAAACATAGAAAATGACAGGCATGCTAGCCGAGCTAAGTTAGTTAGCTCTCTACTTTATCTTCAATGCGCTTCAACCTCAAACTTTCATGACTTCTTCACACAAAGAGCAGTCGGTGTTGAGGGTTGCTATAGATACGTGAAGTTGCCGTTAGCTCAGCAACACAGACTTGACAGTTGGCAGCATGCGCTAACGGCTGCTAACGTTAGCAGGCTAGCAGCCGTTAGCCGAGTTGGATAATATCTGGAGTTCATCCGCGGCTGTGTCTGAAATGTGTGTGACTTGTTATATCAAAGGCGAGCTTCAAGAGGCGTAGACACACGGCGAGGGCAGCAATGTGAGCCAGTGACACCGCCGCCGACTGAATCCACCTGCAGTAGCATTAATGACTGCGGCCTGTGTTCATACAGTGTGCATTCTCCATTTTGAACAATAACCTTACTGCTTCCTGCGCCGATTAAAACAATAAGCAGCTGCATTCAGGGACCTATCTTCCAACCCGTACACTCTACCACTGCTCCCTCATGCTGCTTATTTACCCGGAGTGCTGGCGTGTGTGCTCTGACTCCGAAAGCTACTCTCTGTACAGTAGCTGGCATCATCCTCCTCCTCCTCCTCCTCGTCCAGCACATCATCTTCAAGGCAATCGGAGTCCTCCTTGAGGCCCTCATCCTCCTCGGACTGGGGTTCCTCCTCAATGAACTCGTCCTCCTCGGACCTCAGACTGACTGCATCGTCCTCCTCCTCGCTCTCGTGGTCGTCGTACACCACTGTTTTGGACGCAGCCGTCCTCCTTCCTCCTCCTCGACCTCCTCTGCCTCCTCTTCCACCGCCGCCACCTCTCCCTCGTCCCCTGCCCCGCGTTGACGTGACGGATCCCGCTTTCCTCTTTCTGGACGACTTCGGGGTCTCCCTTGTGGGGCTCTCTGCGTCCTCATCCCCGCTGTCCCTCAACCGGGGCTTCAGATTCCGCCTCGGTCTCAAGCCCCGGGCCGCAGCCGGGGACGGCTCCTCTGGTTGTAGCGGTTTGGGCGGCCTGCCCCTCTTCCCTCTCATGATACGCGACAGATATTATTTTACTATCCCAGTTTTAGCGTTTATTTAGCCTACACGAACGCGAGCGAAAACGACACCCCTGCAAAGCTGGACCTGAGGGGATTCAGACGGTGCAGCAAACCCCGAGAAGCCCCCGTGTCTTTCCGGGCGTGAAAGCTCAAAATGTTAGCCCGGCGTCCCGTTTGGGTTCGCCTAGAGCCGCCATTTTTCTTTTTCTGTGCCTCTCTGGCTGAACAAACAGCAGCCTCTCACTGAGGAGTCACGTGGTGGCACTGCTTCCAGCTCAGTGGCAACAATAACCGAAGTGACTATTACTCCCAGTTAGTTTCACATTTTTAGTCACACTTTTATTCTTACTTATTGAAGTAGGTGTGCGGTTTCAGTGTTAAAGAGCATTGTGCCGGTTGCAGCTTCCTGCAGAGAGACGAGAAAACACCAGTGCGGTTAATGCATTTACAAGATAAAACATTGAGGCTGTCTTCCATTGCACATGGTAAGATTAGCCGCAAATAGTCCAATGTGTGAAAGGTTATTGTCAAAACTAATACAATATTTATACACATTATTAATTTAGATGTTTATATTCTTGATGCATTCACTTGTAACGTGGTCTAAAGTCTTACTAGCAAACCCTTTATACTGCTGAGTTAAACTAGAACTAGGGATGCATCATATTTGATCAGTTTGTCATATGTTTTGCATGTAAAATATAAGTCCAGCTGTCAGATACAGTGAAGTAATAGCGCAATGACATTACAAAATAATAAAATCTGACACATGGAAACACTCACAGTGTGTGTGGTCATATGAATCTAGACAGACTGATTGTTAGATGGTTAATCTGCTTTCTACATAAATGAATTAGCAACAGTATATATATATGATAATGGTGTAATACTCCTTTATATAACTGTGTGTAAACTGAGGTTAGTTCTAGTTTCCTCCCTCAATGTTGCTGCCAGTACATTTTACACACAGGTAATGATGATAATATTAATATAACTATGAATGATGTCACTATGAGTATATGGTCGTAAGTTGTCGTGGCCGAGTGGTTAAGGCGATGGACTAGAAATCCATTGGGGTCTCCCCGCGCAGGTTCGAATCCTGCCGACAACGGTACACTTTTTCTTTTTCCTTCTCAGATAGTAACGCTACCTTTGAACCATAGTATTGAACGTATGATGTCAGGATATCCTCACATTCACAGGAAGGGTGATATTTGCGGGACAAATGTCGTGTTCTCGGTAACAAAGCAGCACTGGCAGTGGCTGAAGCTCAGCTCAGTGACTGGAAGTTACCGCTGTGATGGTTTTAAGTAATCAAACAGCGCCCCCTACTGCATAGCTGCAGAGCCTCGCTAGGGGTTTCACTTGGCTAGATTGTGACTACAAATCCAAAACTCATAGATTTTAACCCATTAGTGCAGACTATGCTTTCCGTAGAGGAAACTTTTTTTGTGTTTGAAACATTGACAGTATATATACAGTTTGAAAGGCCAAACTGTATGTACCTTTATACACACTGGTTCCATTAATTCAACAAGAAGTAATATACTTTATAATGCACTTTTGTAAAATCATCTTTATTGTCTGTATCCTCCTTGTTGTTGCAAAATAAGCTGTACATAATTTTAAGAAATATCTTTATTGAGAACTGAAGTCCTTTCTCTCAGAGGATGGAGCCTCCAAATGATAACATTATTCATCTCACCCCCCCATATAAACCAGAACATGTGGCCACCAGTAAACTACAATGTATTGTTTCTCAGTATATAGGGATCTGTGATTAATATCATTGAAAGTTACAGAAAGTTGATGCTACAAATCTTGCCTACTCCAGGTAGTGTGGAGATCAGCCAGTAGGTGGCAGTAATATACCATAAATGACTGAACAGAGAGTTCAGCAGTCTCAGTGTACAAAGTCATCTTAAACAGACTTGGATTGAAATATTTCAACATTTATCTGCAGCTATGTGAGAGTGACATTCTTTAAGAGGATAAGCTCTCCTTCCACCTGTCGCCTCTCAGCGCTGCCTTTACTTTTAAAGAACAGTGTGCTATGTTTGCTGTTTGTGAGGCAACAACAGTAACAAGCTGACAGGGGTACAAAGAATCCAGTGTTTGCAATACGCGGGCTATTTGCATGAAGAGCAGCTGAACAAGTTGAACTCTTCTGCTTCAATGTCATGTCAGAATATGATGGATAATTGTGGATGCTCGGGAAAGGTTGGGGAGAGGAGTGGAAAACCTTTGCGTGCCAGATAAATGCTTGCGCTCTTACAGTTAAAACCAGTGATCTGATAACTCTATCACATCTCGGACACCTACACAGGGACACAGATTGTTTCCATGAGTTCATAATTACAATTATTACATGAGGGAGTGAGGGTTAAACTTAATCTCAGCGGCAGACTGCGGCCCACTCAGGTGACATCATTAACAACAGTAAACACGGGCTGAGGGACGCAGGGTGATAAATGAATATTAAATATAATAAATAAAGTATAACTCCAAATAGCCCACAGCCATTGACATTATGAGACAACGGCCCTCAGACATGTCCCCCCACATACGCCCACAAACTGAGTACAAATGTGTCTTTTTGTGGTCCTTTTGGTGTCCCTCTGTGGATATTTTACCTCTTTGTAGTGGTTTGATTGACATCACTGGGCCTGTACCCAGTTGGCCTGTTCAGTAAACCATCCATCATACTAACAAGCCAGCTACCTATTACCTTCTGACTCTGGTAAAGGGGGACCAGGGGTGGCCAATCAGGTTCCAGGGGTGGCCTGGTGCCACCCCCTAGCCATCCCTCTGGCCCCGGAAGCAGTCATTGATCTTTGTTATTTTTGTCCTCAGTTGAAGATAACGTCCCATGATATACAGTAAACAACAAGGTCTTTGTTTTTATTTCCATGCCTACATACAACTGCAAATGCAGTTTCCCAAATCAGGGTTCATGTCTCACACCCACCGAATCCAGACATCTGACTTTATTTACCTCAAATAGCATCTATTCCTGAACAACCCTGTCAGTGCATGCGTGTGTCCAGACTGAACTGAAAATACTATACTAATGATGCTGGGGCACAAACCGGTCACTAGTTCACACACTGATAATAATCTTCTGAACTCTGCACGAAATGTCCTCCTCACTTGCAAATCCTCAAATCATCTTAAAATGTCCACACGCAGGGGAGAGCAGCAGGCTTTTAATGCCGCCGCTGCTGTTGGCGACTGCTATAGCAGCACCATATGGCAAACAGCCTAGTCAAGCTTGAGAGGTAACCCCCCGGGGCAGAGTCAGGACTTACAGTTTAGAAAAGCCTCCCACAATCATCATTTTATTTAGTTCTATATACGTAGTGTACACTGGAAATCTCTCTTATTAATTCTATTTGAATAACTGCTAGTGCCACCGGTGGTCAGCGGAGACACACACAGTGCAAACGCCTCTCTGGGTTACACTACTGGTGAATGTCATGAAGATGAATAGAGGCACTGGAGCAGCCTGATGTCTTTCATAACTGGAGTACATTCCAGATGAGAGGGCTAGAAAGGGGACAGCAACACTGATGTAACAGTGCCTGCTTAAGGCAGTTGTGACAAAAATGAAGGCAGAGGGGAGGCAGATTGAAGAGAAGAGCCAAAGTGGCACTGAGTGCTAAAAGTCCAAATGTGGAGCAGACAGTGCACCAGACCGTGGCTAACGTGATGTTAAAGATCTCACTTGGCTGCAGCAGAGTGCTGCATGCAGAGCTCCCCGGGCCTCCCTTCAAGAAACGAAATCATCAGCTTCCTCTTCACTGCTTCTTCAGATCAACTGACACATGCACATCATTCGCACCTCGAGAGAAAGAGAGACACTTTGGGCGTGTTTCATAACGAAATGTGGCCTGTTGAGTTGGCGTTACACTAAAGTCACAGACTGACTCAGTCACTGCTCTGCTGTCTGAAGGAGTTCCCTTTCGGGTCGTTGGAGATGCTAATTCTGTAGTCTGCAGATGCCGTGTGCATTTTCAGAATATAGATTATGTACAATGATGATTTAAGACAGCGGCAGCATTATTAGACTGTGTTTGGATCAGTAAGACCATCTAAGGTTAGGATGTCAAGCATGACTTATCTCCTATCCGTTTCTGACCGACTGTTTCAGTGAGGAATAAAACATTATGTCATTATGCACAGCTGAAAGCATGGATTTATTTGAAAAGCTGTTCTCTCTTTGTGTTCATTAGCTCTCTCTGGAAAACCCTGGTTTACCTGAGGAGCCCACAAACACCGAACCAGCATCCACTGATGAAAAACAATCTGTGTTTTCAACTGCGTTAACAGGCAACAGCTAGCCCGATAGGCATTGCGATGGATTACTCATCGCAAGCAAGCTCCAAGTTTGCAAGCTGATTATCATATTGCACAGACATTTATAGAAACCACCGGCTGCTCAGAAGGTGGGAAGATGCATTCATGAATCTAAAACTTTGACTAAAGGTCAGCAGTATTGTTGAAGCTAGACATTTGAAAAAAAAAAAAAAAAAAAAAAAAAAAAAAATTTTCCCCCCAAAAAAAAAAAATTTTCCTGCAATAAAACGCAACCTTGCCCTCACCCAGGGGTCTCGCTGCTATGAGCACACTTTATATACACATACATATTGTGCAATAGACAAAAGTGAGTCAGTTCACTTACAGCATGGCGCCTATCTGTTCTAATTATATTATTATTTTTATATGTCACAAACATTTTAACGGGTTTGTCAGAAAAGTCAAACAGGAAATAAACACAATGAGGCTCACCAGAAATGAAGGAAAGTTCAGTGTGTTATTATCCTTAATAAAGGTCCAGTGTGGAACATTTAGGAGAATCTACTGGCAGAAATGGAATATTCAGAACCATGTTTTCATTAGTGTAGAATCGAAAATAAATATAAAAGAAAAGTAGTTTTTGTTGCCTTAGAAAGAGCTTTAGAGTTTCTACAGTAGCCCAGAACAGACAAAAACACTAGCTCGGGATAGGGCGGTTGGCGTTTTTTTGCGGCCACCGTGAGATAGGGTGAAGTGAGGGAGTAGCAATCTGTAACTACACTGGAAGTTGCCGTTAAATCTTACACACTGGTCCTTTAACTACCACCTGTGGCCACAGCGGTAGAGCAAAAGTTACAGCGTCCCCCTTTAACTCCACTCCACCTGTAGAGTCCCTTTACATACTAATGATCACCTCCTCAACCCTCGGCGTGAAGGCGATTGTTCCTTTAAATGTTAAACCTTAAATACACACACACTCAGAAAACAGTAGTTTGTACAGGTCGGCACACGTACAACCTTTCTGACGACTGACTCTTCTGAAATACACAGCACAAAAAAGGATATTCTCATTTTTTAATAATTGCATTTTATTAATTGAAAAAACAAAAAAACAAATGCAAATAAAAAAAAGAGCAAAAACAAAAACAGTATCATTAGGTAAGACAAGGCGAGAGACACTTAAATAAGAAGAGTTCCATGTTGGTGAGGATAAAGGTGAAGGCGGGTTGATGTAGGAGGGGAGGTGGGAGGGGGAGGGGGGGGCAGTCGTTGGATGGGACAGGTTGGAATATGTACACTGTTTGTCACTGCAGGACTGGCAGGCCCCGTAAAGGGAGGGGGCTCAAAGTAGCAGGTCGGAGACACTGAAACACCAGAGAGAAAGGCACTATCCAGAGAGAACAAGAACACAAACCAAAAAAAACACACAAGTAAACAAGTAAACAAACACACACACACACACACACGGGACCAGACCAGAAATCAAAATGTTTGACAAAAAAAAGTGCTTGACCACACGCCACGTTGGACAAAAGGGAAGAGAGAAAAAAAAAGGAAAAGAAAACACTTTTACATCATTTACGCTGATCTCTCAACTTTTAGCATAAAAGACAATCTCTCAGTTTTCTGAACTGTTAATCTGTGCCAGCTGCAGATCTGCACTGGTGATTACACAATGTGATTATCCAAACTCCGCCTCTCTGCTACGTGCAGGTATAACAAAGAGGAGAGCGTCTGCCGATGCATGCATGTCATGAGTGTTTGTGAATGTGCATGCTAACTACCTGTACATGTCCTCATACATCACTCGCTTTATAAATGAATATTGACAACATTACTATTTCAGCATGTCTTTTAAAATCCCTTGCATGGTTTGTGTAGTTCAGTTCTCCGACCTTGCTTCCCTCATGTTAATGTCTATGGACTCAGTCAGCTACATTCACTGCCCAAGTAAAATGGCTGCAATAAATACATTGGCTTTGAAAAAGGTGGCTGACCTTTATACAGGGCTTTGTAATACAACAGCTCTTGCAGCATTCATGGCTCTACTTGCTGGTCAACATTAGCTTCCTGACAGGATTAGGTTCTTCTCAAAGAACTAACTTTACTTTCCGTGCGTTATAGACAAGAGAATCCTCTTCGAATGGAATTTATGACCCCTTAAATATCATGCTGTTATCTGAGAGCCCTCAGATAGATTCAGGAAAAACAAAACAAAAACAAACCTTGACTGACAATTCAGCACATTCTAGAGCTACCAGGTCTTATCCAGACTAACAAAAGATTGAACATAATTTACAAATGGAAAAAAATACAATTTGTGATGAGAGGTAAAACAGACAAAACACATACAAATATATAATATATATTCTTAAAAAATGGATTCTCTCTATAGTTGATTTATTTATACAGCCAATGGCTGATGTACAATGCTCACGTGCCAATGATCTCAGACATGGAAACTTGCTGTACTGTAGATTGCATCTTTTTTTTTCTTGCCCTCTCTTCTTTTTTGTACATTTTTAAAACCATTTCTTCTTTTTTATATTTTTAATTGTTTTTCTTTAAAACAGAGTTAGGATTTATCGGTAGGCATTTCATTTGGGTGATTAAAACAACATGCGGCAAAACAAAAACAAAAAAACAAAAAACAAAAGAAAGGCAGAATGTTAAGAAGTTAAGGAGAAGACAGAAGCAGCTGTGGGAGCGGTTGAATCATTTGGTTATCTTCACGGTTGGTGCACTACTCTTAAGTTTCTCTGCATTTAGATTTCCCTCAAAGACAGTTCAATCCTGACCGAGGCGTTCACTGGGGAGGTGAACATTCTCAGCGCAAGTTAAAGTTGATTTTTCTCAGCTGCCACCCACACAGCGACGCCTACGACAGCACTACTCCTGTTTTATCTCTCTCTTTCTCTCTCTCTCTCTCTTTCGGTTGTTCGCGTTCTTCCTGTCTGCTCCTGTTATTGTGGGATGGCGAAGAAGGGTGGAGGGGTGGTTGGGGGGTTGGATGGGGACTGATGAGATCAAGAACGATGATGATGATTATGGTGATGTTTGCTGTTGTGGTGATGGTTGCTGTTGTGGTGGTGGTTTGTTGTTGTTGTTGTTGTTGTTGTTGTATACATGGTCTGACTGTTTACATGTTCCGATTGACAGGCGTGACATAGTTGCGGGGGAACATGCCCGTTTGGCCGTGGCAGCCTCCTTTCCACCAGTTGGGGTCAGAGTTGTCCAGGACCTGGATGAAGTCGCCGCGTCGGAAACCCAGCTCCCCTTCCTCCTGGGGGTCAAAGTCGAAGAGCGCCTGCACATATGTGGGATGCTGTACAATCAGAAGAGAGAAAAAGGGGGGCGCAATGTGAATAAAAACAGCAACTATGAAACATTCACACCAATTTCTGACCCTATGCCTCAGGATGGCCAAAAAAATGTTTACCAATTCACACTAACTTCCTTCCATGTCACCAGTTCTCCACTGGGAATACTCCAGCGTGACACTGGGATTACACGGTTGGTGCAGACACATTTCCTCGTTATCACTGCTTTTCTCTCCCTGTGTCTTACCTGACACTTCTCAGATCTTTTATTTTCTGTGTGATTTTGGTCATACTTCCTCTCTTTGTTGCCCCGCAGCTGTCCCTTCAGACCTGTAGGCTAATAGCTTCACTGTAGCCAACTTCCTCATGCAAATATCACACACACACTAAAATTAAATCTGCATGGCTCTCACTGAGAAGCTATTATGTGTATTTTATAGGTAACATAAATGCTACTCGCTCCAGGCTCTTAAGCTAACCCTCACTGATGCTGTCTTTACCTAATGTTTAGTACCGGCGCACTAACTTAGAACTGTAAGCAAACACCTGTGCCACAGGGTCTGATTATACTGTAAACGTTCATTGCAATCAGAGAATTTTAACTGGCAATGGTGAATAGTGAACTTAAAATATGTTTTTTATGGAAACCTAACACACACAGTGACTTGCCTCAACAGCCTTCTTACTTACGCCAGAATGCAGAAATCTATGATAACCTAATAACACTGATAATATACAGCTGATAAGGTTAAAGGCTACAAAATAATAGCATTGTGCCACTGACCGGTCGGGAGATATTTTATACATTTTTGCACTGACTGACGAATAATTTGTTTATTCTGGGTGAAACTATGAATGAGATTAATGCCAAAGACGTCATTACCACGACCATCAGCCTACTGGCCCACAGTGTTGAAATCACCGTCACTCAGAAAATACTGTGATTTTGTTTATTGATACGGAGTTGGGGTAATAAAGGATTCTCACTGCGTCAGAAATACAATACAGCACATCTATATTCACCTGTTTAGCCATCCTGTTTTTCCTAATTGGTGTTTGTAATTAAGTAAATAGAAAAACAACAGGAGCATGTTTATTGTTAAGCCAGCTAGCTGCGGGGCAGGATTTTGAATGATCTTTCTCAAAGGTGTTTTGTACATTCAAATGAATTCTCACCATAATACAGATGTTGTTACGCATCATCTTCCCAACCTAACCCACAAAGCCACAGCCACATGCAAACGAAGGAAGCCATATAGCATGTTGTACTTTTATGTAAAGTACTTTAGAGCAAATTTTAGAAAGCAGAACAGGTTGTTAAGTTACTTAATAATGTAAGTGAGGATGTGATGACTCAATCCTGTCTTTTAAATCAATGCATTCAGTGCATTCATAAATCAGTTGGGATCACTTATGCAGCTGGCTTTAACGCCGCATCAGTATTTTAAACACATACAGCTTCGAGGGGATTTTTATTCTGTTTCTCTGTGACCATAATTCACTTTTACTGTTCTTGAACACATAGTGGTAACTAGCTACACTCTGCAGCTTTCCAGACCCTCCCAAACCATTTCTGCAAAGAGCATTTCTGCAGTTTGTTCATATGTGGTTATGCTGACGACCAGCATTGCTCTCTCTGATTCTGCAAGAACTTACCTTTCCCACAAGTGATCTAGATTAGGATCACTATCTGAGCATGAATGGTGCCAGTAAGTTTGATTGAATTAAATCCTTAAATTAAACACATCAATATGGTTTATATACCATATCATTCAACTATAATGAGAGGGACTATATTGCCATTTTTACCGTTCTTTCTGCCACCATTTCAAGCCTAGATCCCTGAGTGTGTTCTCTCCCAGGGCCTGAGTTCTTACCTGGGGGACTTGCTCTATGTCTCGCAGGAAGATTTGCTGATTGCGAGAGACTGAGGTGGAGCGGTGGTAGTCTACCAGCTCGTTGAGGGAGTTAAACTTCACCACCCATAGGAAATACTTTCCAGCCCCATCACGAAGAACCTTGAAGTGTTGGACGTCATTTCCAAACCTGCAAGGTCACAGAGCGGAAAACTATGAGGATGTAGAACACTCGGACATTAACCTCACTTATCAAATGCATTAGGTGTGTCTGTGACAATCTGGTAAGTGTTAGTCAAATGAATCAGCCATGCCAACAACAGACTGACATTCAATACAGGCTGACTAAGTGGAATCAGGACGGTCCAGACAGTAATTAAGATCCATATCTTGGCATCAACTTTACATGTAACCTGCCATGAACCGAGTTGAACTGTGTCTTTTGGGAAGGTCAGAATGGAGAGAGACAGATAAGAGGAAATGAGCTCTGTATATGTCAGCTAAAACAGTAAGTACTCATAGGGCTGACGTCCAACGCACAAAACAAATGATCACAACCGGCACACCCTGGTCACCAGAGGGCAGCACTGAGACTTGACAAAAATAAGGAAGAAGCTGTGTTGATGACTCAGACACACCAAGTATGGAAACTTATGAACCTGATCAGTTGTGGGAAACTGTAACACTGATGTAAAGATAATGTCAAATTGTATTTATAGAAAACAGTGTGAGTGTGAATCATGATTTTTCTCTGAGCAGGATGTTGGTGCGGTGCTACTTACTTCACAGAGAGGGAGAAGTCTCCTGGTGCACTCTCGCTCTCTCTGATGAGGAAGGCCCCATCGTGCCTCTGTTTGTTTAGCATCTCCTCTGCTTTGGCCCGGGGAATCTTCCCGAAGAACCACCTGGAGGAGATAGAAAACAGGCACAAGTAAGCACTGAGTAAGCGGACCCCAAACTGCAAAAGACGCTCACTTTGTAATAATGCAGAGCAGCGTTGAGGCAGTGCGATGACACTCCATTTTTGGTGTACACCTGACTTTGTTGGTCTACCACAGAGCTAACACACACATACATTCAAATTCACACTTAGGAGAAATTTAGTGCAGCTAACCTACAGTTTCCTCTGTCTGTCCACAGCCTTGCAGAGGATAGGGTGAGGGTGTGCAAACATCACACAAACTTCACACCTGCTGCTGGCTGACAAATTTGAACTGATGTGGAATAGTGTGGGGACAGTGGTGTTCACCACCAAGCTGTCCAATGGTGACAGTCAATGAAAAACTACATCTAATTCTGAATGCACTCTGAGTGGTCTTTGGGCCAAAGAGAAAAAGTACTGTATGTTCATACCATGAAGGAAGGAAAATAATTACACAAGCACTGGCCATGAAACTGCACTGTTCATCCCTACACCAGGAAGTAGTTAATTATTATCTAATTACAGTGGCAAAGTCAACACACAAAATGTTTTGTTCCGTAAAATGTCCTAATGTGCACAAGAGTCTGTATTTCAAAGTCTCTACATAAAAAAAAGGAGTGCAAATTACAGATACAATTTGAGATTTAGAGTTGGCAAGATTTCAGTCACTTTAAAAAAAAAAAAAGGTCCAGTATATAGGGTTTAGTGGCGTCTAGCAGTGTAATTGCAGGACGCAACTCCCTCGCTTCACCCTCCCCTTCTAAGCACCAAGGAGCAACTACAGTGGCAGCAAAAACCGCCGGGGTTGGGGTTGGTCCATTCTGGTCCATTGTAGAAATAGAAATCTGTAATTATAAAGGGCTCATTCTAAGGTAACAAAAACACAATGATTTGTATTTTCAGGTGATTATAAATCTAATGAAAACATACCTATGAATATTCAATTTCTGCCAACAGATCTCCTGAATGTTACACAGCGGACCTCCAAGTGGCATACGTTTATTTTTGGTTGCATATATGCTACCAATGTGTCACTGTGAGAAAGCCCTGACAGAGGGACTAAGTGAAGAGCAATAAAGATGGATGGAGAGAGGGAGAGACAAATGGCAGACCTAGCCAGTGAAAAGCTCTTTACTTGTGTAAATAATTAAAAAGTAGTCAGCCAAAAGATGACATCTTGGCTCCTTTACACGTAGGTGAAAATCAATAATGAAATGGCCAACTCTTGATCTGCTTTGTATCTGTGCTTGGCAGCAGAGCAAGCCTGCACACAGAGTCCCTTTTCCTGTTTGATAAAAGTGATAGCAGAGCAATTAATGGAGCCAAGGAAACGATAGGGGGAGGAGAACGACTGGCAGTACTATCAGCAACATACACACCTCCACCTCCACAACTGTGAGCGGGATGCTCCAGAGTATTCATGTTGCTTCAACCACTCGTATTCTTAATAGACCTTCACACAAATCTAAGCATGAGCCACAAAAACACAATTACTGTTGGGCAGGGGAAAAGAAGTGTACAAGCTGAAAGGAGCCATACTCTATTGTGCTCTGCTGTATAGTGCAGCTGTGTGTGCACGTCTGTTGAGCTGTGTGGGTGACTGGCGCTTTCGCATGGCACTCCATTGTCACCACAATGTCACCACAATGGGAGACAAAGGCAAATTCCAGCCACTTCATTGCCCTGTTACCACTGTTTCTAGTCCATTACTGTTCTGGGTGGTTTTCTTCTTTTTCTTTTTTTTTTTTTACAGTACATCTAAATTCTAGGGCTACTAGAGCTTCAACTTCAACGATTGTTCTCATTGATTATCAGTCTGACGATTTATCAATTATCAAAATAGTTGTTGATTTAATTAGTAGTTGGCTGCAGCTCTAACAGAAACCATTCCACTAAAATCTAATTCCCACAGGTTGCACTGTATTGGATCACAGTGTAGCTCACCATGTTCTTCTACTCAAGACAAGTGTGACACAAATTATAGTGGATTCACAACAACATCTGAGGAGAGGAGCTTCAGGGGGGGTTGGGTGGGGTTTTTGTTTGTTTTTTAATGCAAAGGGCTATGACATGAGCCTTGACCAGGCTGACTGTCCCCATATTGTTGTCTTTGTCCAGGTTTTCAATGACCTTATTATGTACCTCAATAGGAATAGATTTAGCCACATTTAAAATGTATTTTAAAAGTAATTAGTTTGAATTCATAGGCCGTTACCCTGCTGTGGAATAAAGAATTTGTAATACAATTCCCTACTTCACCACCCAATAACCAGGTCAGATCCTTTATGGGGAGAAATGTCAGATCCTGCACATGCAGCTTGCTAAATGGCACAGCCTTTGTGCTCTCTTTTATGTGGTCGAGATGAGTGGCAGCCAGTAAATGTATTCTTAAACCCCTGATGAGAAAGTAATAATAAAGTAATGATCAGTTGAGGGGTAAAAATCCACATGCTTAAATTACAGGCAGTGAAAACTGTTTGCACAAATCTCTCATGGAGTCTGAAGACAGGGTGGGGTGGGGTATATGCTAACGTATAAATATTCCAACATCATCATTTAGTCTCACGGTCTAATTCATTCCATTAACAATTTTAACAGAAAAGTTCACACTTACAGTCTTTAAAAGGTGCTAATCAATACTTATCTTCATAAAGAGTCGAGTCTGACCATTTTGTATTGACATGTTTGGACAATGAACAGAGGCTGAATAAAAAGAATGATGTTAGTTAAGAATAATGACAGCATTTTTTAGTAATGAGACGATGATATTACTATTTCGTTTCAGTGCTTCGGTCAACCAAGAGGATGTTTTAATAAATGTTACGCTATATTTTATGGTGCATGCTACCTTTGTGTATGCATATTATTGTGCAGAAAAGATTTGAGATTATGAGAAGTTCAGTTTAAACAGATCTATGAGGCACAGCTAAATATGGATTCACCTCAACCATAATAAAGACCGGAAACATTTGAGTATTGTTCCTACCAATACAAATCCCACACAACAAAAGGGTACATCTAACATCTGCAACAACAGCAATGATGCAATAAGGTCAATATTCAATTAAGCGTAAGAGGCCTCAAGCACATTAATAAAGAGAGCTAATCTGGCATTGAATGCAGGTCCAGAGGTAACGTCCTCCAAGGATCCTGCCAGGCGTTCGCTCAAGTGCTTCAACACACATTAACTCATACACACACCACACACACTTGACCAAAGCATGACATGCAATCAAGTCTCATAGGAGTTTTAGTTCGAGCCTGCCCAACCTGAGCAATATGTTAACAAATTAACCTTTCAGGAGAAGCAGAGATGCACTAATCCACTTTTCCCAGTTCCAATCTGATTCTGATACTTGAATTTGGATATCTGCCAATACCATACCTTTAGTAGATGCTTAATTAAATTGGTAGATTTGTACGATGCAGCACAGCCTCCACCCCTCGTAACGTTGGCTTTACACACAAATTGCGGTTTTGAGACTAAAATATATGGTTGAATTTAACTGAATCTCAATGTGCTTCACACACATGCAGTATGAAGAAAAGAAAAGAAAACACAAATACATTCTAAAGTAATTCATCCCCTGCCCACCCACTGACCTAAACATGCAGACCCACACATGCGCAAAAAGTGAGAAAGCGAGAGAAAGAGAGACAGACAGGTAGACAGATGGCCCTAGCTAGCCATAGGCCTGAGAGAACAGCTAGGTCTAAAGCACAACACAATCGAGGTACATGTGATATTATCGGGCAGTTTGCTCCAGAGAGTGCTCCCATAACAAAGGTGTTGTTAGGAGGCCATGTCTGAGGTTTGTAATCCGTGAGCCGGACACAGACGTATTTAGGCTGTAGGCCATTAAGTGATTCATAAACAGTGAGCAATATTTTGAAATATTCCGTATTTTACCGGGAGCCAGTGAAGTGATCTAAATTGGAGTCATATGTTCAGTGTTTGTTGCCCCAGTGAGTGCTCTGGCTGCAGCATTTGAGCTGGAGCTGCCCTACTGTCTGAGGAAATGTTGAGTTAGCCAACTGTTACTAGCTCACTCAGATGCAGACTCTCTCATGTCGCGTTACAACGGGTTCATGGTCCAGCTCAAGCTCCGCCTGTGCGTCTAACACGTAGAATTCTGGGAGGCAATTTAAATATGGGGACTGCTGGATATCACTGTGAAAGTGGACTGGTCCCAACAGTAGACGAAAGAAAACATTAGAGAAACAGGTATGCATAATACTTACGGATGGGCTTTCATCTCTATGTAATTCTTGGGGATGAAGCCGTCTTTTCCATTTAGCTCTGCCTTGTACCAGTTCTGATCACACTCTTCATTTAATACCTAGTGTTGACAGAAAGAAAGAGTTGTTCAGGTTAGTGCCACATACAGAAGTCAACAATGGAAAACAACCAACATCCTAAATTTAGCTTGAAGCCATTTCATTTAATTTCCTGTGACTTCAGGAGGTGCATGCACTGTATGATAGAGAATTGCTTTGTAAATATTAGGAAACTACAAAACTAACAGGAGGAGGAGAGGAGGCAAATACAATCAAACAAATGTCATTTAAAACGCTAGCGTCTAACAATGTGTCTGCCTGTGACCTTTTAGAGACTCGCTCAGCAGTACACCTCAGTGACACAGACAGCTGCTCTGACAAAGTATGACTACAGTGCAGGTGTGTGTTGGGCTGGTGGTGCATCCATGTGTGTCCAACTCAGTATGTGCTTCTTTGTCTCTGAGTGGGAAAGCTATCGAGAGGTGTGTGGTACGGAAAGAAAATAACCTTCACGCTGCAGCAGCTGATTATTTATGTAAAAAAGGCGCCCATGAGCTTTTTTTTTTTAAACATAACTTTCATTCATAACTGAACAAGATATTTTCCCCTTCCATAGTAGTAAAATGTCCCTCGCAAGTGAAATGGCAAATGTCATGCCACTCATATGTGGATTATCTTATTTTAACACTGGAGTATTCATTTCTACTAAAACTTCTAATCATTTTTTCATTTCTTCTGTCTGTTTTTGTTTTAAAAACAAAAACAACAAGAATGTGAGCTACTCCATTAATGAGGAAAAGCAGTCCACAATATTCTTATACGCATTATGTGAAATTCCAGCAACATCTACACGTGTATCAATTTCCGAGGAATACTAAGCAACAACATTGAGTCATGCAGCCTTCTTCTGAATAATGTTGCAAAAAGCAGACAAAGCCTATTTCCTAATCTCAGTCTACTTGATGGCCACCGCAGACCAGCAGGCTATAAAGCCTGAAAAGCAACAGGAAATGATGAGATGCACATGTCACAAACCAAGCTGTCACTTGTTTGATTCTTTGAGGAGCTTAAAGTAAAGCGGGGCATGCATTAATCTCCCCCCTCACATCCAGACACAATCCTGTACTGAAGAAGTTTGTTAAAAGCCATTCCTTTCAGTGTCTTTGATCACAACTCATCTGAATAATTCTTAGGAAGAAAGCGTTTCTGGCTAAGGCAGGCTGCGTGCCTTTCCTTAATGCAGATTCACTGGAGTGAGAGGGCATCAGACAGAAACCACTGTTGACAATCTTCGATGCATATTAGACTCATTTTTCCTCAGTCCCTTTATTTTCTAAAATCACAATTTAGTTTCTTTTCCTCCCTCCTCCTCTCCCCTTAAATTCATAATTTCCCTCTAACGCCGCCCAAGACAGCTGTCCAATTGGCCCTGTGTAGTGTGAGTGGCCTGGGTCCATTTGCTCCAGTGAGCCTGCAGAATGCCAGCTGTCACTGGCCCTCCCCAGCTGCTAACCCTGCACAAGACCAGCATTACTGGATCAGGGAGTGGCCTTGGACCAAAAACATAAGTAGGCTAAAAAAAAAATTAAAAAAAAAGGGTGCGTCTATAAGTGCATTTAACACATTGGACTTACAGATATTGGGGTACATCTGTGAGACAGAGCGATGGGGAGAGACAGACAGGCTGAGTGTGTTTATGCTAGTCAATGTGGCGCTGTCTGAGCCAAGACTCAAACAAAGGGCATTAGCCTCTGGGCTGTATGTTGACACACCAAACCGACCTTTAAGAACTAGTGCCTACAAAGGCAGACAGATACAACACTGCGAGGCCCTGCGGCCAGCTGACTGCCGACATGCACTTCTCTGCTCACATTTGCACCAGCAGTGTCAGCTTGTGGTCTACTGCTTACGAAGGATAACATGACCAAAAGTCTACAGCAATGCTAGCAGTTCTGTAAGGCGGTGCTAGGAGCTACATGCTAGGATGCTCACATTAGCCACTCTTCCACCACATGGTACGGCTCGATTCAACTCGCTCTGCAACAGGTCAGACTGGAATCCATGGCTGCTCAACCTGGGTACAGGTGAACTACCAGGTCACCTATGTTCAGGGGGTATTATCCAAAGAACTATCTGCCGTGGAAAACACCACAGAAGTACCTAAAGGGTGCAGAGATGAGTTGAACTGTACCATGTAGTGGAAATATAGCTAAGGGTAATGCTAGCATGTTGATGTTAAGCTGGTCTAATAGTCATAATCTGAGTTTATTGGACAACATGACATTTTCCCCTGAAGATGACGCTTGTTTAAAAGCACACAGAAGAAATTGGGTCATTAACAGTCATTCAGTCATCTTGCTTGCCGACTGCCTCTCTGGTTTGAACATGCTCGATTACCTGAACTGCCGTCAGTAATGGAAGACTCGTGCCAACATGCCAAACGCACACATTTCAACAACTAAGTGAGATTATTGGCTGCAGACACCCGATGACTGCCCAGCAGCTGAACGTCAGCATAGGGTGTCGGGGCCTTAACATGTTTTACTGATACTGTGAACTCCAAATAACCTCATTTCACTTTCTGTCAACAACACACACACACACTCTCTCAATATACGGGAATGCAGAAACAAAACTTCTTCCCGTATAAACACAAATAAAACTAGCACTTCCAGCACTTGTAGCTGAGATACTTTAAAACAAACATAAAAGCAACAAATTCAGTACGAGTACAAAATGTTCAGAGCAGTCAGAGAGACGATGCTTCGTCCTGACGACCCAGGCTCAAGCCCACTTATTCGGAGGATCGGCTCCACTAAAGTGCCCTTGAAACCCTATCAGCTCAACCAGCGCTGTTCGGGTTGACCCTGCACTCTGACCTCCCTTGGGTGAAAGCAAACAAACTTTCTTGACAGGATGATTTACTCTTAATATACTGTCAAGTAAGTACACTGTTAGATAATAAATAATAAGAACTGCACGTCACATTTTCTAAGAAAAAGGAAGCACCTCTTCTGAGCCCATCATGTTCAAGGAAAGTCAAACGAAAGGTCTCAGTTGATACATCTCTAAATCAGAGCACATACGTTATGTTATAGGTTATATATCTCACTAAAACACATTCTATCACTGCTGAAGGAGTCACTTTGGCAGACAACACAACCAGTGCTTGTGAACTGGAGTAACTTTAAATAATGACCCAGTCTACAAGCAAAGTTAATAATAGAGCACAGCAGGTGCTGCAATTTACTGTACCTCTAAGCGTATATGAATTGCTAAAATGCTTAAGTGAATTTTCAGGCGATTCTAAAACAAGCCAGTGTTTGTACTGGGGGGTATCCCAATGTAATGTTTCAGTTTCACTGCCGGATGCAGATATCTGAATTATAATTATTCAATATTTGCAGATTACATTTTGTGGTGCAATGAAAACATTTTAGGCCTCGTTCTGGATGTAAACCTGCGATATTACAGCGCACAGTAAAAACTCAGCTGACATCCAAGTGACACAATTTTGGGTCCTGTGTTTGGTGTAGTCCGACATGTTCACATACACTGTTGTGTTGTTGTGGGATGACCGTGTCTCAATTATTCTGACAGCAGGGCAAACAGCAGCATGGCTCCTAAGGCTCCATTAAACAAACAAATAAGAAGCTTGTCCAGGCAAAATAAACTGGTGCAGACATAAAATCCAAGGCTCATTTCCAGCCCGACCCAACAAAATGGTGCATCTGGACAATCAGACTATGTTAATATTTTAAGGCTTTTTGAAATGGCATTACAAAATGATAACCGCTAGGGGATTTGTATCAACAAATTCTGTTTAGTCTAAAAATAGACTAAATGTTTGTGCTTTTATGTAGTAACTATTATGATCAACACTAAAATTGTTAGAGCATGTTGTCAGTAAGCAGGACATGGCATGCATTGTATATAAACCGCTCCATCTCAGAAATATGTGGATCGTTCTTTGACTTCAGAAAACTAAAAAACACTTTCACTACTTCTAAAGCAAGCAGTAGGTTTGGTTTCAGAAGCGTGGGAACACTGTAAAGTCAGGGAGTTTTCAACCAGATTAAAAATACCCAACAAAATCTTGTTTGTTTAATCCGTACAAAAACCCAAGTGTAAAAATAACAAGTTATTTTATTTGTGTTGTATGATGGGTTGCTGGACTATTACAACCACAAGTGCCTGACTAGCTGTTTCCCCCATGTTTTTTGTACAAAACTAAGCTAACTGGCTGCAGCTTCATATTTATCAAACAGACAGTGGGATCCTCTCATCTAACCGTCCGCCAGAAAGTAAATAAGCATATTTGATTTGAATTTGATTAGTCCATATATACACATATTGCAACAAAACTGAAACCTGACACATCTACCCGTGGCAACCAACTTGACGTGTTTTTTTTTTTTTTAGTTTTAAAAAAAATAAATAAAATGAACTCAACCTATTAAAAAAAGATAAGACCTCTAGCCTGGATATTAGAATAGTGACTGCTAACAGAAAGCAATTGTATGTTAAAAAAGTATATACAGTATGTTTAGTGAAAATGGTTGGCTTTGACATGGAGTGAAATTTGAACTTGGCTCTCCAAACTGAAAAAAGGGCAGTCCGTGAGGAAAAGCAGAAATAAAATATTTGCTTGGCTGGCAGTTTTTTTAAACTACACAGAGAGGAGACAACCGCAGCATTGTGTCTGACTGAGCTCTGTCTCTCTGTTCCAAGCCGAGCCAGCATTGTGCTCGTGCACTTCTGTGGACGATGTGCATTCCCTCCCTCTCTCTGAAGATTTTTTTTTGTCTTTTTAATCTGATTGAGCCACAATAGTTGTAGGAGTTTCTATTTAAGAGGCTAAGGTCCAGGCCAGGGATTATCTCCTCCACAGCTGCCACTGCAGACCCCCCCCACCCCACCCCCAACACGCACACACTAAAATATTATAGCACTTCCACCCACAAAGCCATGTGTGACACTAAACACGAGTAGCCATCATTCACAAGAGACACAGGTCCACAACTAAATAATTCAGCAGTTCAAGTTAAGTATAAAATGATAT